TATTTGCATGAGTTCCCAGCAAGTGGCATCGAGAGCTGCCCATCAGCAGATTAAGGAGAATGGGAAACACTCATGAACAGGAAAGGTATTTTAAGTAGGAGGCAGAAGGAGAATCGAGAATGCACTCTGGGAGGCCATTTGGCCCACTGAGTCGATGCCAGGCTCTCCAGGGAGCAATCTGGTCAGTCTGAATCCTCCATCACTGCAGCTGTGTTTCCTTTGAGGACGCATTCAGTTCCCTTCAGAAATATTTGATCATCTGCATGACCACCCTTCATGTGGGCAGCAAGTAAGAAGCCAACTCGATGCATTTCAACAAAGGAATCCCCAGAGCGCGGAAGGAGGCCGTTCGACCCATCAAGACTGCACCCACCCTCTGAAGAGCATCCCACCCAGACGTATTCCTCCTACCCTTTCCCTTTAACCCTGCATTTTCCATAGCTAATCCACCTAGCCTGCACATTACGGGGCAATTTAGCTCTGTAATTCCACCTAACCCACGCATCTCTGGAAGGAAACCAGAGCACCCGGAGGAAACCCACGCAGACATGAGGAGAATGTGCAAATTCCACACAAACAGTTACCCAAGGGTGGAATCGAACCCGGATCCCTGGCACTGTGAGGCAGCAGTGCTAACCACTGAGCCACCGTGCTGCCTTCTTCCTTACATTCGCGTGCACAAAACCTTAAACCACAGTCAACCTATTCCTCATCCCATTGGCTCACGGTGAATGGTTTTATTATTCCCTGGTCTACCTTTTCCAAGAAGAACTCATCCAGCTTCTCCAACCTTACTTTGCAGGTAGGATTTCCTGTCCCTGGAACCATTCCGATGAATATTGTCCTCCTCCTCCTAAGGACCTTCACCACCTTCCTAAAATGTGGTAGAGTGAAAAATTCTGAACAGTGTTCTATTTTCAGGGTTTTAACCAAGCAACATTTCCAGTGAGGCATATGATATCATTTTTGAATCATAACTCTAAAATGCATATGAAAACAGTAATATTCTTAAATCCAGCAGGCCAAGCAGCATCATAGGAGCAGAGAGGTGACGTTTCGGGCCTAGACCCTTCATCAGACAAGGGGGAGGGGAAGGGGGTTCTGAAATAAATAGGGAGAGAGTGGGA